TGCCTCTGCTCCAGCGCAGGAAGCTGCGGGGGATTATTGTTGGAGGGGGCTCGCCTTGCCAGCCCAACTCAAGCTTGACTGCATCAAGAAAAGGGCTGAAGGACCCCAGGGGCTCAGCGCCACACGTTCTGCATGCACTGGTGCAGGAGTTGGAATCTCATCCGGATTTCAACGATCTTGAGATCATCTCCTTTCTTGAAAACGTGGCCAGCGCCCCAAAGGATGTCATCGAGGCATACTCAGCATGGGCAGGCTGCCAGCCTATCCGGAGCGATGCATCCTGTTGCGGCTGGACATCCCGTAATCGTCTCTTCTGGGTCAGGGGACGGGCTAAGACTATTGCTGAGGCCTCGCCGCCCCCTCAGTGGGCCTTCACACCAGACGTTGCCTCTGCAGGGCTTCTGAAGTATGAGGGTACGAAGCCGATCCCCAGCAGAGTTCACTTCGAGAACGGTTTCCAGTGGCTCAATGATCCGGAGGAAGTGATGTCAGGCAGGCAGCAGGCGAGTCACACCTTGACCCGCGAGTTTTGGCACCCGGGTGACCTCACATCTCGGGTGTCTCCTGAAGCAGCTGCACGCTTTCATCTTGATTCCTGCAGGTTCCCCGCGGGGGCATACGAGGACCACTGTCTTGCGTGGCGCATGTCTGAGTGGCGCCAGCTTACTCCCCTTGAAAGGAGTCAATTCTTGGGCGTACCGCCAGGGGCAATCGAAGCAGTGGAAGGCAGGCCAGCAATCAGGACGAAGAAGCGAAATTCCCTGTTGGGCAACGGTTTTCACATTCCTACGGTCATGATCTTGCTTGCGATGATCCCACAGCTTTGCGAATCCCGCTGGGTCATGCCTAGGGTTGCTTCTTCGGCGCTTGAACAGCGCCTCATGGGCACAGTTTGGGAGCCTGACAAGCTCCGCAGCTTTCCAGGCCTTCTGGATGCAACAGCTGTGGTGTCTCACATGCGCACACGACAACTTAGGGATTGTTTCGTGCCCGAGGACGTCTGGTCTGCATGCACAAATCGCCTTGCCGTATGTGACTTGCCGCTTATGCAAGCCTTTCCTGCCTGGCAGCGCTTGCGAGGTCTTGAATGGACCTCACTCCCGCCTTTCGTGCTGGAGCGCAAGACTAGAGCTCGCATTTACGCGGGAAACTCAGGTCAACGCTGGTCTTCCGACCAGTCAAAGGGCCTTGATCATCTTCTGCCTCCAGGGCTAGGCCCAGCTGAGCACATTGCGCAGGCACTTGACCTACCACCGCCATTCACCCCACACCAGTGGCCCGATGATGATGTTCAGTTTGTCGCGTACAGTGTGGCGGTGCGGCAGGACGAGCTCCCCCTGCTTGCAAGAAAACAACTACGTAAAGTCTTGCACTCGTTGTGCACTGCGGTCAAGCCACTTTCACAGGCGCTTGACAAGCTTCGCTGCTCCAGCTCCCGCAAGGTGGCATCGGCCAAGAATGCTGCATTCGTTGCTTTGCTGACATGCCTGTTGCGCTGGCCTGATCATGGTCAAGCCTCCTGCTTCATTCATGGTTTTCCAATTGTGGGACATGTGTCATTCTCAGGAGTGTTCCGCCCTGTTTCGGGGGATCACTCAGAGGACGAGTCAGTTGCGGATTGGCTCCGTCGTGACGGTGCCCAGGCGGTCAACAAATTGTTGGATTCGCCACCGCCTAAGAATGCGCAAGAGATCTTGGGGCTGACTTTGAAGGAGCAGGAGCAGGGCTTCTGCAGCGAACTCATGACGAAAGACCAGGTCGATAATATCTTCGGCAAGGGTTCCTGGCGTCCCATGGAGCGTTTTCTTCAATTGTGCAAGGGGACAACAAGAAAAGATTAGTGGACAACTGCCGCAAGACCGAGCATAATGCGCACGCGCAGCTGCAGGAGACAATTTTTACGGTTTCGGTTGACTTCATTGCCTCGGCCACCCGTGACACTCTCTCTGCCGTCAGGGATAAGACTCAAAGAGACACCTCCGAGCTTCCCTGGGTGCGTGTTCGTTTGGGGACCGATGACCTTCCCGATGCATACCGAGGCATCCTGTGCAAGATGCTCATCTCCCCCTCAGTGTGGTGGCCATCTACGTGCTGCACAAGGGGTGGCGATTCACAATCTTGTATGGATTGGCCTACGGCCTGGAGGCAGCAGTTGTGGCATTTAATCGTTTGCCGCTTCTGGGCGTCTCCGCGGCAAGAAGATGCGCCTCGTCTATGGCAGCAGCTTACTTCGACGACGAGCTGAGCTTGGAGTTCATTGCTGACGAGGACGTCTCCAGAAAGGGGCTCCGCACGGTGTTTTCGCTTCTGGGAAGTCCTCCGCAGCTGCTCAAGTCTTTCGCTCCGAGCCAGAACCGCCACTACTTAGGCACCTCAGTGCACGTGGGCGATGCCGCATTGGTTCACGTTGTTCGCTTCCAGCCCAAGTTCTTGACATTGCACAAGGTGTTGCATATCTTGGACACAGTGCTTGAATCGGGACGCCTGGCTCGTGACACAGCTGGCAAGCTTCGCGGAGACCTGCAGTGGTTTTTCTCCATGGTCTCAGGCCACGCAGGGAAGTTCGCTTCCCCCTTGCTACGTCGCTACCAGCATGCGGATTCGGATGTTCTGGACTCCGCAGCTCGCTCAGTGTTAGTGACGCTGCGTCGCTTGATTTGTGCAGCTGAGCCAAGACGCGTGGATCTTTGCACCGTGTCCGAGGGCTTGATGCATGTGTACACGGACGCATCCTTTGAAGATGGCCAGTTGCGCTTAGGATGGGTCATGTTCTGCTCAGCCTTCGAGAGACCGCAGGCAGGCACATGTGCGGTGCCTCAAGCTGCTATCGACGAATGGCGGCCTCGCAATCAGCAAATCTTCATGGGCGAGACGCTGGCAGTTCTTCTCCTGCCGGTCCTCTTTCCCAAGTGTTTTTCCCAAAGGGATGTACTGTGGTTCATAGACAATGCTGCAGCATGCAGTGCAGCAATCCATGCAGCGAGCGTTCACGAGGTCTCTTTGGCCGCAGCTGTCATTCGCACTTCACTGGCATGCCGCTGCTGGTTTGAATGGATTGACAGCAACTCAAATCCTTCCGATGGCTTAAGCTGTTTGGGCCTTAGCGATCCTTGGTCTTTACAGCAGTGTTGGGACCTCTGCGAAAAGCAGTTCCCGAAAGAGGCTTACCGAAGCACTCTCGAGTCTGCCTGGCTTCAGTGAAACAATGGGAGCTTCTGACGGGTCCAGGGGTTGAGTTTGAAACTTTGGGTGTTTGCATGTCATGGACTGCATCACTCCATTCCTGCATGGAACATTTCATGTCCATCAGTTTGCACCCATCGTCTTGGACGCTTGGTGTGTTCCACTGAAGCTGCATCAACTTCTGTGATCATTAGTTGTATGGTTGGTTGGGTAGGGCCCACTAAGGTCTGGAAGTCGTGCTGTCTTCTCCTTCGATTCATTGAAACGTTCGTCCTCCCTGATGTCCTAACGGACTGATTGGAGACGGGTCCTTGTCGGACTTTCCTTTCGGGGTCTCTGGTCTTTGTACCACTTGTGCTTGGGGCTCTTTCGACCCCTTCACACGGGTGTTTGCATGTCATGGACTGCATCACTCCATTCCTGCATGGAACATTTCATGTCCATCAGTTTGCACCCATCGTCTTGGACGCTTGGTGTGTTCCACTGAAGCTGCATCAACTTCTGTCGACTGTTCGATGCTTTTCGCGAGATCATCGCAATTCTCGCAGTTCTCCACGTGTTTTGGTTCTCCGCTTGAACTGGGTGTGTTAATTTTCCTTTGGATTGACCATGCTTCTGTTTTAGACACCCGCTGTTGCTTTTTTGATTGACCAAGCTTCTGTTTGTTCAAGACACCCGCTGTTGCTTTTCTTTGGTTGACCAAGTTGTTGTTATTTTTTCGAGACACGTGTTGTTGCTTTTCTTTTGATTTTTCTCCCTCGTCGCATGTGCATCGAACTTCGAAGGCAGGGGTGTGTTTTAGAGATGCATGTGATCGAACTCGGGAGGGGGTGTTAGATTGCAGCAGCTTGTTCTCGACGGTGGGATGAATTTCGGAGATTTCACGGTCCCACTAGCGTGTGACAAAACAACATCTAAGCCTGACTTCGGGGCTCCATGGTATGCAATCTCATCGCGGCACTGCATGTGCCGGACGGTGAAGAAGATGTGCTTGGGTGTAAAGATATTCCTACCAACATGGTTGAGATGAATTCTGGAACTATGCACCTGTTGCATAGAGAAACTAAGGTTATTCCTGACACATTTTTCGATTCATGATGTGAAAAAAATCGGCCACCGGTGATTTCGGCTTGGAGGCACGATTGCCTCCGGGTCTTTTCGTGCAGGAACAAACCCAAGAAAAAACGATTGGCTTGTCTTCTGCTGCACTGTTGCTGGTTTGTTTATGGCTGCTCAAAAGGACCCTTGAGGAAATCCTAGCGCATTAGTTAAGGCTTGACCCCTGTTGTGCTGCATTGTTGCTGGCTGGCTTTTGGCTGCCGAAAACGATCCGGAGGAAGTGGCGCATGAAGGCCTGACCCCGGTGTTGGAAGTCCCAAGTAAAGGAAGGTTTGAGCCCTTTTGTGTTTTGTCTCTTGGGTTTTGTTTCATGTGCTGCCGAAACAGACAGACCCCCGGACTCGATTGATCAATCGTGGCAAATGCTTGACCCTTTCGTGGTGTTGAGTCCATGTTGCTGCCGAAGTAAAAGACCCTGGTGTAATCGTGGCGTATACTATTGAATTCTATTGTGTTGGGTTTAGGGCTACCGGGGCTACCGCAAACGATCCAAAGAAATCGTGGCGCATGAAGGGCTGACCCTAGTTCTGTCGACTCTTGCAGGCTTGGCTGGATTCAGGTGGCTTAAGGCCGTACCCCCCCAGAGGCAAATGAATCGTTCGCTTCGGTGCGGAAGTGGAACGAGGTAACTGATCTTTCTCAGATTTTTCGTAAGCCGTAAGCGCAGTGCGGCTTGACCTGCTGTGCATGGCACCAAGGAAAAAGTCGGAGAAAACTGGCGTGGAGTCTCTCCGACAGCTGACGAAGGCTCCAATTGTGCGCAATCTTACCTCCACGCACTCACTCTGAGTCCGAGGCAGGCTTGTAGGGAGGTTTCGATGTACAGTCGTGCCTCCGACTTATTATTTGCCCTGATCGCGCTTGATTCTTGCCTAGCCAGGGTTAGTTTGTCCTGTGGAGCGCAACAAGTGTCCTCACACAACTGTGAGAGACCCAAGCGCTTGCCACAGATAGGTACGTCGCGCCAGTACCATCCAAAAAAAAGCTCGACTTCCTTCCCATCAGCCGGGACTCGTAAGGTAAGGTGTGATTGGGACCGTTTGGGAGAGAAGCCGACCTGACAGAGGCTTTCGGGTCTGGTCCTCTTGTGCATTTCATCCTCATTGGCGTTGCGTTCCCGCCACATTTTCCAGGCTGCTGGCCGGCTGGAGGAAGCCAGGCAGCTTCGTAGAAGCTTGATGCCCGTGAGCAGCTAGGTGAGACATACAGAGCTGCCCAGCCTGTGATCCAGGCTGGCGCCCTCCCCTGGCGGAGCTTGCGCACAGCCCAGTCGCCCGAAAGTTCAGCTAAGACCAGGTGAGAAGGCTTCGTAGAAGGTATTGCCAGAGCGCTTATGTCACTTTATCTAAACGAGAGGTCCTTGACCTTGGCCTGAAAACGTCGCTTGTTCGAGAGAGCGCTGGCAGTTGTGACACTGTGCCTGCAGCCAATGAGCTCTCATCGGCGCATGATTCGCTGAGCCCTCGCTCTTGCTGTGATGCAAGCAACTCTTCGTTCGGTCTTGCGAACTTGAAACTCCTAAACTCCTCGCACTGCAGCATCACCGAAGCGTTGGGGTTCCTGGAAGCATGCGGCGGCTGCGGAGGTGGAGGTGATGTGAGGGCCTACGGCAAGGCGCTGCGAGCCCACGCGAAGCAAAGCGCATGGAGCCTGGCCTTGGAGCAGCTTCAGCTTCTGGCTGACGTCTCGACTTCCCCAAATGTGGTCATCTGCAATACGGCGATCAGCGCATGTGCCAGGGCCCGGCAGTGGACGGCTGCGTGTAACTTGTTGCTGCTTATGTCCCAGAGGCAGATTCTCGCGGACACAATCAGTTTCAACACTTGTATCTCTTCTTGCGATGGAGTTGCCCAGTGGAGACAGTCCCTGGTCTTGTTTGATGGAATGAGGCTTTCCCAAATGCAGCCGGATGTCATCACCTACAGTGGGGTTATCAATGCTTGTGCACGCAGCGGTGACTGGCTCATGGTATTGTCTCTCCTGCAGCAGATGGGCATGGACACCCAGATTCCAGACGTGATCATTTATGGCAGTGCCATCAAATTCGCAGAAAACACGGGCCAATGGCAAATTGCCGCAGAACTTCTTGAGATGATGGAAAGGGCCGATGTGCCACCAAACGTGATCAGCTGCAACAGTGCCATCAGCTCCTGCGAGAAGGCTGGACAATGGCTAGCAGCGCTGATGCTGCTCCTGTCTTTCGAGGGAAGGAGGCTACAGGCCGACGTTATCAGCTTCAATGGCGCCATCAGTTCTTGTGAGAAAGTCCGGAATTGGCTGGCAGCCCTCAGTCTTCTGCAGATGACCAAGTGCCGATATGTCGTGCCAGATGTAATCAGCTTCAGCGGTGTCATCAGTGCTTGCGAGAAGTCCACTGCTTGGGTACAAGCCCTGAGTTTGCTAGGTGGGATTCGCTCAGCTGAGCTACTTCCCGATGTGATTGCCTGCAGCAGTGCAGTCAGTGCTTGTGAGAAGGCCAGCCACTGGCTTGCAGCCCTCAGTCTACTAATGTCCCTGCCGAAGGACGAGGTGAGGCCCAATGTCATTACGTGGAACAGTGCGATCAGTGCCTGCGAGGGGGTTGGCCTTTGGGAGTGGGCGTTACACCTCTTGGAGACCATGCAGGGCCATCTCTTTGTCCCCGATGTCGTTACTTATAGCTCAGCTATCAGCGCCTGTGGGAAACGGAGTGCCTGGCAGGTGGCCATGGCTTTGCTGAGCAGCTTAAATGTCAGGCGGGCACCCAGCGCGAATGCCATCAGCTTCAACGGTGCGATCCAGGCGTGTGCGGCGGCTTGGCAGTGGGAGAGGTCTCTTGCACTTCTCGGCGACATGGGGCCTAGGAGCCTGCAAGCTGATGTCCTCAGCTTTCGTGCTGCAGCAGCCTGGCGCAAGTGGCTGAAGGCTAAGGTTAATAAGGTTAATTATTGCCCGAGCTCCCAGGGTTGCTTCTTGTCATCGTTGATTGTGTCATGAGGTATGGGCATGCGAATGCGAATGGCACTGGTTGCCTGCCCTTCATGTGCTGAAGAAGCTCGAGGGTCTCCCGCTTCTGCAAAAGAAGGTGCGTTGTGCGTTTCTGGTGTTGCCCTCTAAGCCGCTAAGCACTGCATCATTGCATGCAGCACCAATCGCCAGCTTTGTCCCCATCTAGCACAGTCCAGTTCAAGCACCTGATGACTGGCCGGCAGTGGCACACAGCCAAGCTCGTTACCGATATCACTCCCACTACAGTCCTGTCAACCCATCTGATGCATGATCAGCCTGAGAAGCATTCCTAACATGGAGTCTCCTCCCTTTCTGAGACACCTGGTCGGGATGGCGCGGCAGGGACGCCGGCGGCATGCGGCGAGCATGGTCTCTGGCGTCAGGGTCGGTGCAAGCGAGGCGGAATGCGGCGAGCCGTTCCCCGTTTTGGCGGGCCTTGGGCTCCGTGACTGCTCGAGGCTGGGCTCCAGCTCCCCGCAGGCGCTCTTCGATCGGATGAACCAGCTGGCCGAGGCACCAAACGGTTCTGCTCCCTTCTTGTCCTCGGTCTAATTTCACTTGACGGAGGGCCAGGAAGGGGCAGAGGCCAGAGACTTCTCTCCAGGAAGGCGACGTCCTCGCTGCCGAGCGCTGCTTCGGCGCCCTTCGTGCCGCGCTGCCGAAGGACTGTTTTTTAGGGTTTAGGGCCGAGGTCAGGGACGTTTAGGTTGAGGGTTTAGAGCTGTGCTCGGCTACTATGCCAATCGAAGCGGAGAGGGGCTGCTGCCAGAAGTGCATCAAGAGTGAAGCGAAGTCGACATGGCGCCCTGACCTAGGAGACGATCCGCAAGCTGTACCATACCAATCTCAAGGCCACAGATGCAGATTCCGTTTCCGATGTGAGACCGGGCATCCTTTGTTTCAACCTAAGCTGTGCAGAGACCCGACGAGTCCAAGACCCAAGGTTTCGCTGATTTTTTGGCGCAGCGGTGTCAGTTGTTCCTGCTTTGTGGGCGCGGCGCAGAATCGCCTGTATCCTGTTCTTCCTAGATATCTGCTTTCAGATTCTGTTGTGTAGAGTAGTGCTTGTCCTGTCTGTTTGGGCGCCTCCTTTGCTGTTTGCAGCTTTTTCGTGTTTGCAGTGATCCTGTGTCTTTCTTGTCGTGTCTGCATTGTGATTATGTGCAGGGTAGTGAGGGCAGTTTTGCACGTGACTCGACTCTTAGCTGTCTAAGCTGCTGGATAGGTTGCTTCTGCAGGACGCTTTCATCTTAGAACGTGGCACAGTCACGCCGTGGTTCCTGGGGGCATTCTCTAACGAGCAGTTGACTTGCCAGGCTTGTGCCAATGCTGGCGCCTTCCGGAAAGCTCTGGTCGTCTTCGCTCGCATGCGCGAAGACGGGGCGCTGCACTCATAACAATCACGGCATATCGGCATATCACATGTAGATTCAGATAGGACCACTCAGCGGCAAAGGGCGCTGCTATCTGAGGTGCGTCCGTCTCCTCGCAGCTTCGGCAAGCTGCTGAACGCCGCCGCTCGCAGCAGCGCAGCTCGTCTTCGTGAGAGTCCTCACACGACTGATCCTCTCGCGCTCTGTCGATTCTTTTTTCACCGGCTTCACTGTTCCTTGTGGTTCTCTCGTTTTCTGACTAGCTAGTCTGAAGCCTCTTCTGTGCACGCATTCCAAACTGTTTGCATGACATTTGGGGCATTCTGTTGAAGAAGTAGCATGCCTGGCAGAGTCGATGCATGGAGACTGTACCTTGAACCGCGAAGAGCGTGCAAGATCAAGCGCTGTCCTGCCGTTTTCCTGGCATTATAACGGCATGCTGATGGGTTGCTCATCACGTGGCAAATGCGACAATTGCATCAGCGTCGTGGGCGGGAATTGTCATGGGGAGGCGTCTCATGGATCTATACCGTATACTCTCTGAATAGCTGCCGGATACTCCGTGCCGCACGCATGTTTGAGGTGCAGTCTGCAAGAATCAGAGTTTTTTTCGCAAGCCACCACAAGGTCCTTGCGAAAATGCCGACCGTGGTGAGATGCTGTTAGCCAGAGCTGATGCCGGGAAACAAGAAACGAAAGACGGAACGCTACGAAAAGGAGTTTGAAGTGTAGGTTGGCATGTCAAAACCCAGAGCTGAGGAAGCCAACTGGGCTTTGCTGCTGCTCAAAGCGCAAGAGCAGGCACATGGCGGCTTGAGCTTCACTCTCTTCAGTAGCCGAAACCTTGCTCTCGCCATCGGACTCCGCTGGGCAGACGCACAGAGCTTCCACGGTACACGACAAGTCAGGTTACCGGCAGCGACCTCCCTTCCTTGGGAGCTTTGTTGGATGCCGCTGGTCTGGACGCAATAAGTGCCCCACAGCTCTATGCCATCAGCACCACGAACCCATTGCGCACTTGAGCAGAGCTGGGGCTCAGGGGGAACCTTCGTTTCTTGTGAGGCCTTCGCAAGGGGCGGGCAGAGCGAGGCGGCAGCTGCGCTTCTGGAGGCGGGGAGGAAAGCAGTTGTTCAGGCCTGGGCCCCATGTCGGCTAGCAGGCGACAGCGATCGCTCCAGATCGTCAGGCGGGAGGTTGAGCTCGGTTGCCCTGCCGTTGGCTTCCGGAACTAGGAGATGCCTTCAAACACCGAACGGAAGGCCTACAGCATCGTGATCAAGGCCTTTGCACAGGACGGGCGACCCGGCGAGGCCACAGAAGAGGGAAGGGCCTACAGGCCTACACCAATGGATCCGTCGATTCTTGTTTTCTCTCGCAGATATAGAAGTGGTCCCATGTTGAATCATTCGGTGGTTCCAGTCCTCCAGCCGGCAGTTGTCAAATTTCAGCCGGCTCGCTCAAAACTGCTGGAGGCTGCCGCATGGCTTCAACTGCTCTCTGATCCTGACATTGAAGCCGGGACCGTGGCATTCTTCCTGGTTTGGAGGTTTCATGGTCAATCTAAGTACACGGGAAGCAGCACCGCACCTGGCGAGGCGTTCAACACGGTGATGCACGGATATGCTCGCCTCGGGCAGGTTCTCCTGTCTCGGGCGGTGTTTCTGATGGGAAGGAGGTTATGTTGCGACAACCACTCGGATAGCCACGACAGCTTCTCATACCAGAGCCCATGCAAGACCCCGTGGCAGGTGGAGGAAGCGGAGGTCTGGATGGCCCGCGCAATTGCCCTGCACCTCGAGCCGCGCCTTGGGCGAAACGCAGCGAAGCATCAGATGCATCGGCTGCATACTTTGCTGTCAGGAATTTGGTGAGCTACACCACCTTAGTGGAGACTTGGAAAGCCACACATGGGTCTGTGTTCGCCGGTTCAACATTGAAGTTGCCAGTAACGTTTCCTTAGTTTCCTTGTTGGCATGGACGAAGACTCGAAGATACTCGAAGCTCGAACGATAGCACGAACACGGTGCTATGCGTTCCCAGCCCCAGCTGAGGACGCTTGCGCCAAGTCCGGGCAGCCCGGCCGCGCTCTGCACTTCCTCAGACAGCCAGAAACCTGGTAAGAGAGCCCATGAAAGCACACATGAGCACTCCGCGATAGAGTGCTACCGGGCCATGCGGAGCGATGCAATCTCGATGTTTGGAGCATTGGTGACGGATTGCCATCGATGTCCATCCGAGGGCGGGCCAGAAAGGGCTGGCCATGGAAGCGAGGCCCTACCAAGCAGCCAGAGCCTCATTTCTTGACAGTCGACCCGTGGTGGAAAGCAACGCAACGCACATCGGAATCACCCAAAGTGCGGAGGCCATCGACGCCTGCGCCAAGCTGGGCTACGTGGCAGATGCGGAAAAGCTCTTCCAGGAGATGCAGGCTAATGGGCTCTGGGTCACGCTCGTTAGCACAGCGCTCACCGGGAGACCACCAAGAAACCACCATGACCACTAGGAGACACCAGAAAACACCAAAACTGCTTTCGCCAAGTACTGGCGGACCGGCCGTGCTCCACATGCGTCCTGCAAGTAGTCGCGGAATCACGACCACGGCCAACATGCTTTCCCCACGTTCTGGCGGGGTTCAGGAGGATTCGTGAGTGCGCCCAGAATGCTTCCCCGCAGGCACTGGCGGGATTCAGGAGCACGTTCACAAGGCTTCTCCCCAATACTGGCGGGATACACTCGCAAAATCATTTCTCACAAATGTCTGTGCAGCGCCACCAACGGCCTTCGTGCAAGAAGCGCGGCCCTTCACCTTCGATTTTCTTGCAGATGCAGCTGCGGCCTTCTCTCACCCCCCGTTCTGTTGCCAAAACCCCCCGGGGGAAGGAAGCCTGGCCTTCTTTCACAGAAGCTTTTGCAGAGAATAATGGGAGGCGAACGACGGCAGGGCTTCTGCAACAGAATGGGAGTTCCTTTGATACGAAAACCGGAGGCGAAAGAAGGCCAGGGTTGTGCAACAAATTTGGAGGTGCAAGAAGGTTGGGCTTCCTTCACCCAACTATTTTTGCTAAGGAATCAAAGAAGGGCGGTGGCAGGTCGGGGGAGGCCTGGGGAGCTTTGACCGAGACTCAATTCTGCGAAACGGTATCATCACGAAGAGGATCCTGTTCGTCTGCATGTCAAGAGAGTGCAAGCTAACGAATGGTATTCGTAGCAAAACGCATGTTTATTAGTTGTGCTAAGGCTTGTCAGGATTCAGTCAGCGTGGCTTCTTCGGGCTGCTTGTGCACCATAACATGATGCCACATGATTGTGGCAAGATGCGCAAAAGCTCAGCCGGGACACTGTTTGTTCTGACATGTTGATCTTGCCATCGGCTACACTGGTGGTATGCGTTCAAACAAACCAGCGCAATGCTCAGCAGTCACACGAAGCCAAGTGGGTAAACACTGCTGCTGCAGCTGCTGCTCTTCCTCTACGACGACGATGAGGAGGAGGAGGACGACGACTACTAAAACTACATTACGCAGGGAAAATGGAACCACTACTGAGTCACTACTGTGTCTTGGTCATCTTGGTAATCTTGGATTTTTGGGAGGGGGGGCGCTTGGTTATCTAGGTAAACTTGGCGATCTTGCCCCACTTGGGGAGGGCAAGATTGCCAAGATGACCAAGCCCCCGCTGGTCATCTTGGTAATCTTGGTCCCCCGTGAGTGGACCAAGACGACCAAGATGACCAAACCGGGTACCCCCCCATCACCCCAGAAGACTACCCGAGCCAGATTACCAAGATGACCGGTCAGGCTGCACACGTTAGTGGTTCCAGTTTCCCGACACACTGTACCACTACCACTGCGACGACGACGACGACGACTACTACGACTACTACGACTACTACTACGACGACGACGACGACGACGACTACTACTACTACTACTTCTCGTGGTCAGGTTCAGTTTTGGTTTTGGCGCTTTCCTGATGATTC